CAATGCACATCTTTGGCCTCCTTGCATGTTGTTCAACACTGAAAGAGATGGATGAGGTGAAATAACCGGTTGAACTAAAATAACCGGTTCAAAATGACACAACATCAAAGCATTACTATTTCAAAATGCAGCTCATTTTATGTTGTCCCTTAGAATGTCAGCAGATAACAGATGTACTTTACATTTTACATTTTCAGAACTTCACTGAAGATAACCGAACACAGGGCATCATGGAGAAGAATCAATGGGACCTAAAGCAAATTCGGCTCCAAAGAAGGCAGTTTACAAGACTGGATGACTTTGTTCGAGTATACCAAAAGATGCATGATGCACTGCTCCTTGAATATGGAGACATGGAAAGATGCAGGAAGAAAGTATGGGATACTTGTTGTTAATAAAATCACTTCAGTGGCAGCACCTAAGTAACAAATAAGATTGCTGCTTTTGCCTGATCACGTTTAAAAAACAATAGGCCTGAGTACAGATTTTTTTCAATTGTGTGTAAAAGTATTTAACTATGCATATGTTTTCAAGTCCTTTCGAGTGGAAGAGGAAGTATGGAGAACAAAGCAGAAGCGTACAGGACTGTACGTGTCACCTTTAGTGCTGGACCTGTCATTGAAAGTAATTATTAGAAGAGGTTTGAAGTGACACTGAAGTACACTCATGTTTTGTGATTTTGACTATTCCTACATCCTATTGTAGTGCTTAGAATTGTTTATTCTAAAGCAAATGTAACAAATTGAAACTGTAACTTATTTTAAACAGAAAAGGAGAGAGAACTTTTCACAGCAGCAGCCACAAATAGCTGACGAAGAAAATATAGAAAATATCATCCAAACACAGGTATATGTATATAAAAAAGTTTGTAAAAACAGGAAGAAGCATATAGTTTTCTCATGTAATATGATTTCATTCTGTATTTTAAAATGGTTTGCATTCAATATGTACATTATATTAATTCAATATTCAGTTTATTCATTTTTTGTAAGGCCACATCTGACTTCACTGAACATCAGCAGGAGGACACAAATGGAAGTACCACTCAAACCAATGATGCTCCCTCCATCACAGGTGATTTTAATCAAAATGAAGTATTGTCATTGCACTAACAGCAGTAATTGTTTCATATCTATTGTAATGTATTTTCTTCACCCTCAGCTAGCTGCGTTGTGGGGAAAAAATGACACAGAAGTGGTCGCTTCTGTGGTCTCTTCTCAATTTAGAAAGAACTTAATCGTCCGCCACAGTGACCTCCGATCACTTAGGCCTCATAACTGGCTCACAGGCGAGGTATGTAGGGCAAACAGTGCAGCAGCATAATCATGAAAATATACTTAAAAATGCACAAATGTAGTGTTAAACAGTCGCAGTGACTTGTTATCATCTAAACACATTAATGCAACACCGTGTTGTGCTCATATGCCAATCTTGTAAGTAATTAGGTCTTTGTAAATATGTGTTTTTAAATGCATCCATTAAACTTTAAAGCAAATATAAAAAATATCATGATTTGTCTTGAAACACAATAAGCTATTATCAAATATATATCATTACTTTGCCTGTGCACCTAACCCTGTACATGGGAAAGATGATTTTTTTTCTTGCCACCCTTGAAGGATAGGTTTGAGCACTAGGGCCTTGGCCTTGCAGCTCAGCTTGAGCTCTCTGTCCCTGTTCAAAAGTGTTAATGTAAAATAATGTAATGTCATTATTTCTGATGTACTATCTATCTGATTGATGTTAGGTCATTGAATGCTTCTTACATCACACTGTCAATCAACTGCATTTGGAGAAAACCATCTGTGTCTTGAACCACTACACAGCTACTGTGTTCCTCTTTAGGGACAGAACAACAGTCAGGAGGCAGAGTTTGTCAAAGGTAATTTTTTGGGGGGAAAAAGTTCAATTTGTTTAGCGAAGGTACAAAGGGTTCAGAGATTTATAATTGTTTAGACGTTTGCTGATGTGTAAACGAGTTTGACTATATGTACATGATGAAGCAAAACCAAAAATAATGTCAATGATAAATGCTTATTAACTGAAGTAATTTCTGTGTTAATATCATATAATGAAAATAATTTTGATGTGTTACAGGTTAACTTTGACAACTACAAAGCCATTGTGTCCTTTGTTAACATTGAAAATATACACTGGAAGTTTCTGGTTAGTTTTTATTTAACACTTTGTATATTGATGTAAATTTCCCATGTTGCTGGTGTTGTGGTGAATATTTGTGGAATAATGTAATTTTTCTTGTGGTTACAGTACATCAATGCAGCAGAAAGCAGTGTGTATTTGGTGGATCCCTCAAGCAACCCTGCAGAACAGGCAGATTCAGAAGCTGCTGCCCAAAAATTCTGGTTCTTATGCAATTTAGTTTATTCAATGTAATCATATACACTGCATTCCATCTATGTAATTATGTATACATTGTAGTATTTTGCACATATATAAAGAAGATTTATATTTTAACATTTCATTGTCACACAGTGAATACTTTCAGATAAGGACTATCCACCACCGTAAGAGAGAGTGGGCAAATATTATGTTCATAGGAGCTGTTATGCAGCACCCAGTTCAGCAAGATGGAAATAGCTGTGGTGTAATGGTCATTATGGTACAATAACATAGATGTTTAGTTACATGCTTATTAATATTGTGTACCTCACATATTTTCTTTCTGTCTTATTTGTTTGTTTGCTTTTTGTTTATTTAGATGGCAAAGGCAGTCATGGAGGCATTTCCTAAATTACCTAACATGGAATTTGGGACTACTACAGAAGAGATGGCACAGGAACGTACAGCTTTGGCACTTGAAATACTTGAAGCTTCAGGTATGTGTTTATTTTATTTTATTTATTTAGTATTTTTTATTTTTTTTACATTTGTATTTGTATTGTCATAAAGTATAACATGTAAAATTGGTTTTTCATTAGTGTTTGACGCAGAGAACAATTGTTCCATGTGTTCACGACGCGAACCACCAAGTCCGGAGCCTTCCATTACTGGCTGGGTAAGGTGTTATTTTTAATTGCTTTATTTTGTGCTGGTTACTGGATTAAAGTGCTTGCATTTAGTGGCTTTAATAGAAAATAGATATCTGCTACACACCAAGGATATAGCTCTTTTCCTTGCACTTGGTCTTTGGTAGCTGTCAAGTTCATATTATCAACTATTACAGATTGCCAACTACTGTAAATAATAAAAGACAACTTGTAACCATGACAGTAGCATTTTTGGTGAAATAATGTTCAAGTTTGGACATCATGTTAAAAATATATCAATTTTGTCTATACAATCGGTTTGAATGAAAGTTTGGTGTTGGCTTGACCGGGTGTTCACAGATGGCGGCTCACTTGACCGCGGTAGCATAGTGACCCGCTATAATGTCCGTTAATTTACAATGACATGTCAAATTGCGTTGCTCATTTAGTTTACAAGCTGTAATCAGCCGAATCCCATCATCAAATAAACTGCTCTATGAGCGAGTCATCAGGAAAGCTAATGACCAAAATCTAATGCAGCGTTTTTGTAAATTTGTGTCACGTGCACTTGCCCACATACGCATAAAATTAAAAATGATATTTAACAAGGCTTTCTCACCAGATTAACGACTAACGACAGAAATATGAAATCAAAGATAGTAGAAGTGCATTAAAAGCGAAGGAACCTGTAGATGGTGTAACAGGTACAACAAATAATGTGACCCAAGACACGTCATTGCAGCCAAGGAGAAAATGCCAAAATAAAAGTCCACACTACAACCACGCTCTACGTACAACCAGTGCTTAGAAACTGGACATGCAAGCAGAAAGAAAGAAAGAAAGTAGCCTACAATATGCAAAGCAACCAGTCTAACATCATTCAACCGTTTAATGTCTGAGATAAAAGCTAGGATAAGTCATCCCATATGGCATATGCGAACACAGATTACTAAATGCATGTTTAGCTTTAACACAACTATGGATTTCTGTTTTAAAATGCATAACCCTATGTATTTTTTCTCACACAGGAACACTGAAGACTAATTAATTTTTGTAGCTTACATTAATAATAATAATAATAATAATAAACTGCTCAGCATTTGATTACCAATTCATTATTTGATTACTGCATATAGATTTATTTATTTTATATTATTTATAAGTTGTAAAATTGTTTCAGCTTCCAAAAGTAAGTACTGCCTTAATAATTTAAGTTAAAATGTAATATCTATTAACTGAAAACTTATCTGAGGTAGGCTATAGCCTATCTCAACAAGTTTAATTCAGAATTAGTTTTATGATTGTACAAAATTTGTTCCTTTCCATTAATGATTTAAATGGCAGAGAGGCACTGTTGGCAAATTGGGACATTGTATGAAAAGGATTTAGGGAAATTAGATTAATTATTATCCCGTATACAGTAAAACTACATCACAATCACAAATTGCCCTCACATTTCACTCTTTCAACATGCTTTGCCTCAGAATGTATTGTCATGTTTTCATTTATACGTGTTTACCACCAATTTTGTGCAAATAAGTGAAATTAAAGGTGGTTTTAAAGATAAGCAATAATGAAAAAGATGATTAATCTTAAGTGTCCCCCTTAACCAGTTGTGCCAATTTATAGCCTATGTCATTTGCAGCAAGTCTGTGTCTAGTGTGTTTATATTTTATTGTTTATATTTTAGCCTCTCGTCTGCTGTGTGCTGAATTTGCACTTGCAACACGCTGTTCTCAATCTTAACCGCGAGTCAGGCTCGGTGAATCTCAAAGCGTCGGCTGCTGGTAGATGCCTAGATGGGATGCTGTGCGCGCGTGCAGCGAGCCCCCCATTCTCAAATGAGAGTGCGCGCGGCAGTCTAGAGGAGGCGTGCGCGCGCTTGAGGGGCTGCGGTCCCATTGACTATTCCGTCTCCCTGACAGCGGCAGCATCAGCAGCAGCAGCAGCAGCAGCGAGCTCGGAAAACAGAGCGCCGCGCGGACTCCGCCTTTTCTCCCGTCATCCAAAATTATCATGGCTGTGATGGTTCGGCAGAGGGAGGAAGAGGCAAAGGATGAGGCCATGCTCAAGTAAGACATCACACTTTATAGGGAGCCTGCCCGTAGTATTTGTGCTGCTTCTGGAGACCAAAAGGCAAACAGCTTGTAATGGTTTCTGTAGGTGCATCTGTTTGCAATAGCCTACTAATAAAGCCATCAGGCTGTACGCCTGCACCTGAGCTCCTGTGTGTGTGTGGGTGGGTGGGTGAGTCTGGCCATGTATGTCCACTTTCTCCATCCTTATGGTCACCTGTCATGGATGAGCCTCACTTGTGTATTCATACACATCCATATGAAACAAGCTTGTCTAATGAACGGTCAGGTGACTGGTCACAGGTATAGCTGTTAAAGAGAGGGGTGTGTTGACATGCAAGAGCTAAATATCTACAACTAAATACATCCTGCTGTTTTACACCTCACAGTGTGATGGATTAGTTTTAAGCAGCACACACACGTCATGTCACATTATTAGTTCATTTATTCGACACATCCTGCATTTTTAATGTTTCTTTAAATAGGTTAGTGAACGTTTTCCACACTATTCACCACCAGTGTCAGGATTCCTGCCTGGTCACGACAATATTTCCGTGCCTCGTCATCATGATCATCAGGATCCTTAACCCATTCATTGAAATCTTCCCTGATTGTAGTGTGAGCATCACTCACAGCTTGAAGCATCAGCCATTGCTTTATGTTTTCCTCATCTGTTCAATTTCCTTTCTTTTCTTTTCTTTTCTTAGATCCTCCTAATGATATATATGTATAGCATCATAATGAACTATATGTATAGCAAAAGTATTAAACTCAAAGAGCTTTACAGTAAAAAAAAACTTATTACAACAAGCACCAAATTCTTCAAATGAAAACTGGTAAAAAAAAAAAAGAGATCTTTTTATGACAGGCACTCGTCAGCAGTTTACATGTAGGATGGTTTGTAAAGTTTTATTCTGAATGGCTATTTGTGGTTCATCAGTGCTGTTATCATGAGTGTGACGATGTTTCTTGGCTTCCTGTCCACCTGCCATTTAGAAGCCATCATTGCTTATATTACATTAGTTGTTGGTCACCTTGAGATTTGAAATCAGATTTATGCATCTTAAATTGGTTCACTGAGCAGCTACAATCGATAACCTAACCACTTCTTGTCCTAAATTACTCATAGGAAATAGTCATGCAGTTATTTAATTTCTCAGTTTTGGTATATACATTTTTTTGTCACTAAACTCTTCTGAAAGAAAAATGAATAACATTTTTCTTTGAATGGTTAAAGGTCACAGGTCAAATGATCACTGAATTCAGTCTCAGTTACACAGTATTTCTCTTAGAGAGAAGAGACAGATCACCACATAATCTGTGTACTAATCTGTTTTAGTGTGCCGATAAACAAACTCTCATTTTCATTGGCTGTGTGTGTCATGAGATCGATGTTTGAATTGGACAGTTCCTCACTCTCAAAGAAACTTCTGTCCTGAAGCAGAAGCTAGAGGTCGACCTCACTGCTTTTGAGGCATTCAGAAATACAACAATACTGTGCTAGCTTAAAGGCATAGCTCACCTAAAAATGAGAATTCTGCCATCATTTACTCACCCTTATGTCATTCCAAACCTGTATGACTGGCTTTCTTCTGTGGAATATAAAAGAAGATTTTTTTTGTACTCTTTTATTTATCTTCATTTGTGTTCTGCAGACAGAATCTTCATTTTTGGATGAACCATTCTTTAAAAATAATATTGCAGAATTGTTTACAAAAGGAGATGTTTTGTCTTTAGAACTCAACTTTCATTTCATGAAAATGCATGTTTGGTGAAGGTTGGTAATACTAGAAAAAGTTAGCTAAAGAAAAAACTTTTCATGCAAAAGAGCTAAGATTTATTTCTGAGAGATTTACCGTCACTATCTAAATTGTGTTTGTACATTTTAGAGAGGAGAAGCCCATACAAGCAAAAACAGTGAACCTGGTCGGGAACAAGAAACCACCTCAGCAGAACGACATCAGGTAAACATCTCAGTCAAGTTTACATGCAGTAAGTTAATAATGGAGTTTGATGTAAATAAATGATAAACATTATAGTGCAGTGGTTCTCAACCTTTTTGTCTCCAAGGCCCCACCCCCTTGGTCCAACACAATATTCAAAGTTCCTCCTATCTAAGCTGTACTTCTAGTACTTGTATTGTAATAAAAATAAACTCAAAAATAAGATGTCAATCCAGTGTTGTACATCTTTAAGAGTAATATATAATTACGATTATATTAAGTAAATTTAAATACTTTTAAGGCTTATGGAAGTCCCCCTGGAATTCTGCCCGCCCCCGATTGAGAACCACTGCTCTAATGGCCATTGCCATGTCATTCTATGTTCTGACTGTTATGACTGCAGTTTCTATAAATGTCAGACAATAAGGCCGTGACAACACTGCCTCAAAATGTAAGAGTCATACATGATAGTGAATGAAAGGTCAAGATTTACCTCAAGGATGTGCCCTATGCTGGTATTTTTTGAAAGGTGTAGGGTTTGTAAAGAATGAAATTATTGTGCATGCTGTTGTGACATTCTTTAATACTTTAAATGACTGCTTTATATGTTTTCGATTTTCTCTTTTACTGCCCATTGGGGTCATGCTGAAGCTGCTGAGAGTGTGCACTGTGTTGTAAATCAAAATCTTTTTTACAGTCGCATTTTTTTTTTTCCTGCAAAACAAGAAAACAAATCCTGGCACCTGTGGTGGTGCTTTAGAGTGCTGACAGAGAAATATTTATGCTATGTTAAATTATTTATGCACACCAGTATTGCCCTGGTTCTCGCAGCTGAAGAATAAGAGGACTGCGGTGTGGTTCATATCAACAGATAGAGAACATCTCTCTCCCACTTGCTTTCTCTGGTCTCTGGAGGGGTCAGAGGATCAGGAAGGCTTAGGATTATGGGGCAAGTTGGCCAAAACACATCTGTTTCTGTGTGGAGTCCCTGGATGTGGTCACTTGTGATGTCATCAGCCTGACCAAGAACTTGCCCCAGTAGAGTGCTGCAGTGATGATGTATTTTTGTAATCTAATCCAGAAGCTAGTATCACCCTGGTTCCCTCGACATAAACCCAATAGTATTTTACCAGTGGCTTTTGGATTAATGTAGAAAATAAGCTCTGTGACCAACAGAAGTTTATGATTCCTGCACATTTTGTTCATCATGATAATCTTCACAAATGAACACAACTTTTATAAATTTTGAAGCCTGAATACAATCACCAGAAGAAAAAGATAAACGTAGGGTATAAACGAACTACATCGTGGTCACATGACTCCGACAACTCTTTCAGTCTTTATTTAAAGGGGTCATAGGATGCTACATGCACTTTTACAAGTTGTTTGAACTGAAATGTGTGTTGGCAGTGTGTGTACACAACCACCCTATAATGATAAAAATCCACCCAGTGTTTTTTTTTAAATTCTCAAATCGAGCCGATCTCAGATGCCTGTCTGTGTGATGTCACATAGACAGGCCCCTCCCACGATAGTTTGATTGACAGTAGCGTTTCAGCACAGACTGGACTGGTGTCTTACCTTAGACCCGCCCTGAGTGAGCTGTCATCAGTCCGCCATTGTTTCGCCGCCGGAGCAGATGTAGACAAGAATGACTCCTAAGCGATTGAGGTGTTCTGTTGTTGGATGTAATAATGAACATAGCAGTCGTCATTTACTTCCGACATCTGAGCCGCTGAACTCGCAGTGGATTATTTGTTTCTGAAGGGAATGCGCCCCCGATCTACATAAATGCATCTATGTTCGCGTGAATCATTCATGATCCAGCCTCATCTACAGAAGATGTGAGTATAATGTTTTGTAATGCATCTTTGCAAATCGCCTTTCCTAATAATGTGCTAATTAGCTAATTAGTCTCTCTGAGAGCAGCTGGGAAGAAAGGGGCGGGGTCAGCAGAGCTCATTAACATTTAAAGGAAAATGCTACAAAAAAACGGCATGATCTGAAAAGAGCTGTTTTTGTCAGGGTAAAAAAATTGTTTTTTACACTACCATTGAGAAATTTTTACCAAACTATGTTACAGACTTTTCATTAAGACCCCAAAGAATCATATCAACTTGTGGAAAATGGGCATCCTATGACCCCTTTAAGGAAAAAAAAAAAAATTTTTCCCTGAAAGTTGGCCACATGTTAGCAATCACTTTTTCAAGAAAAGTAAAAGCTTTAAAAAAAATCACAAGGGGGTGTTACTGATGTATTTTATATGGTAGAATAAAACATGAAAATATTTTGAGCTTGTGTTAATCATAGACCTTATTTCAGGAATTTAACCAAAAAACACATGAAAAAAACCCACTGACTTCAAGACGATGCAAAAAAAAAAAAAAAGCTAACTTGTTTCTGGGTTTTGGCCTACAAAAATATGTCATCCCTGCAGCACTCTATTGGCTCGAACCAAAATGCAGTTGTGCTGTTTATCATTATTATCATTGCACCATACGCATATGCAGGATGTACTCGATCAGTTACACCTACCCGAGACTTCTGGCCTAGAAATGTTGTTGAGCAAGGGATTTAGTAGATGAGGTGTATTTAAGGCAGGTCTATTCAGCTGAAGATCAAACAGAGAGTTGCTCTTATTGTAATCTTATTCTCTTGAGCCCACTCCTTCTCTAGCCAGTGCTTCTGACGTAGACACAAGAACTGACAAAAAGCCTTTAAAAACAGGAGGAATACATGAATAGATAAATAATTAAATGCACAGGCATATCACACAGTAGTGGCTTTTAATAGCGCCCTAGTCCATACATTAGCATCCACTGGAGAACAAGCCTTCTAAATCCATTTGCTCACACCCACCAGCAGGCCTCAGAAGGATGAGCTTGTGCTCACGGGTTGGCATGTGCTAAAGTCATGCTCCTAATTCTCCAGCTCCCACTCAATTACTTTCTCACTTGTTCAGTCAGTGGCCCGACTGCATTACCAAATGTGTCTTTCACAGGCCTCAGCATACAGATGCTGGAGTGGTTGTGGGTTTGATTGCTGTGCGTTATATATGACCTACTCAGACTGAGCTGCTTAAACTGAATGATGCAGCTTAACTCTGAACTGCATTGGCATAAAGCTAGCCGGTTAGCAAGAGAGCTAACTTTCAGTAATACGAACTTGAATATTTCATTTTCCGTGATGTTGCAAATTCTGCTGATTTCAATATACCACCAAGGTAACGTGATCTTGATCGCTAACATAAATGAGGTTTCATTGAAGAAAATGTGTAGTTGTGAGAACGATAATTATAATTATAAAATTATAAACAAATCACTGTATGCCAAGTGTACTTTTTAATTTATAAGTTAATCTGTTGTTGCAAAATTACCAGATAATACTGAAAACCTTATAAATTATTTGTCATAAGTATAATATAATAAATTATAAAAAACCAAGGTGAGAAATATTTAGAAAAAATATAAAATATATTTGCTTCACAAAACATAAAAACAATATTGATTATGTATTGCTGATGAAATAAAATGTATCATATTTCCAAATATGTAATTAAATATCAGTCAGTACCTGGATAGATAGTGAGCATCTCTCTGAGGCAAAACTTTACTGTCTTCTCCATGTTTAATAAAAAATGCTTACTACGCATCAGATGAGCGCTCTGAAACAAATGTTGTTTGAGTATTATAATTAAATGTATGAATAGGCCCACATAAACATGTCAGCATATCCCGTTTAGAGTTAAATGTTGCTTTGAGAGGTGTGTGTGTGTGTATGTGTGAAGGCTGCGTTTCTTCATAACAAGGAGAGTGGGGAGTCCATCTGTTCCTCCAGTTGGTTAACTGTGCTAGGACACACACGCTCATTTCCTCACCAACTCACAAAAAATATGCAGTCAAGCCGACCGGGACCCCTCACCATGTACTGTAATAATACACCCATCCTTGCGCCGTGGTGTCAGCGACCCAGGCTGTTCAGAGCACAGATGTTTTGGTGTATAATGGGTCTGCTAGGGAAGTAAGACCTTTTAACATAGAAACACATAAAAGTAAGGGGAATTACAGCTGACATCTGTCGCCGTATTGCTGGGGAGTATGTTGCGAGCTGTTTACACACAAACACAGGGTAGTAGGACTTTCCCAAAGCAGGGTCACAGGGCAATTTTCTGCAGCTTAGGTTATGAGACACCAACAAAATTTCTCCTGACATACTGGATTTTCTCATTGAATTGCATGATGGGACGAACTGGCACAACTGTTAGTTGTTGTTTAGCGCATACATTATGTCTTGTATTCAGGAAATGATTTAATATGTCAGTAAAACAATGTTTAAATTGTAAGGATGATGATTAAATGACTGGAGAGATGCAGGCAGCAGTGATGGAAGCTTCCCTTGCTGTCTGGCTGATATTTACAGATCAACAATGTGTCATGATTGTTACCGCCAACCCTCCTGTGAGAATTTGTCCCATGGAGAATGCCAGTGTGTAGCATGTGTAGGCATGCTGCTGGGACACTTTCTTCACCCAACACCTCCACTTATTTCTTAGTAATTTGGTTTCTAACATTGTCTTTCCTCATATGAATTGTATTTTCTTTTATAAGATCTTCAAATGCTCCTCAGTTTTGGATATAATGTATTGGCGAGTCTAGGGCAGGACCTCTGATAGCTTTTTGAAGTTGATAGAAATGTCTCTAGGTAGCACTCCATAATGTTGTATCAAAAACAAGTGAGCTGCATTTTTAGACTGCATTTTAAGGCATAGTTGTGCTTTCCAGCTGTTCCAATATAATACTGTCTTAATTTAGTTGGTCATAGGATGCCCATTTTCCACAAGTTGATATGATTCTTTAGGGTCTTAATGAAAAGTCTGTAACATAGTTTGGTTAAAATTTCTCAATGGTAGTGTAAAAAACACATTTTTACCCTGTCAAAAACAGCTCTTTTCAGAGCTCGCAGTTTTGCAGCATTTTCCTTTAAATGTTAATGAGCTCTGCTGCCCCCGCCCCTCTCTTCCG